ACAGGCATCGAGGCATTCAGTTACTGTTCAATTGAATGTTAGAATGGGCAAAACAAGTGACCTAAGCGACTTTGAGCGTGGTATGATCGTCAGTGCCAGGCGTGCCGGATCCAGTATCTCAGAAACGGCTGCCCTCCTGGGCTTTTCATGCACGACAGTGTCTAGGGTTTACCGAGAATGGTGCGACAAACAAAAAACATCCAGTCAGCGGCAGTCCTGTAGGCGAAAACAGCTCATTGATGAGAGGTTGAAGGAGAATGGCAAGAACCGTGCAAGCTAACAGGAGGGCCACAAACAGGCAAATAATGGCACAATACGATAGTGGTGTGCATAACGGCATCTCGGAATGCACAACTTGTCAGTCCTTGTCACGGATGGGCTATTGCAGTAGACGACCACACAGGGTTTCACTCCTATCAGCTAAAAACAAGAAGAAGCGTCTCCAGTGGGCACACGATCACCAACACTGGACAATTGAGGAGTGGAAAAACAGTGCGTTGTCCGACGAATCCCAGTTTCTGTTGGGTCAGTTTTCTGATGGCAGAGTCAGGATTTGATGGCAGAGTCAGGATTTGGCGTAAGCAGCATGGCCATGAACCCATCCTGCCTGGTGTCAACGGTACAGGCTGGTGGTGGCGGTGGTGTACCACCAGCCAATCTGCAGCAACTGCCTGATGACATCGCATCAGCATGGACCCACATCCCTATGGAACGTTTCCGATTTATAGAATCCATGCCCCTAAGAATTCAGGCTGTTCTGGAGGCAAAGGGGTGTCTGACATGGTACTAGATGGTATTAGATGTACCTAATAAACTAGCCGGTTAGTGTATAAACAAACTGATTGGCTACAGAGATTTTCTAGAGCTGTTAGGATTCCTGAGTCAGTGGAAAATCCATAGAATTAGAACCTGTTGGAGTCGGAATACCCCTCCTGCTAATTCTAATTCTATGTCTGCAGCATTCCATGCCTGACAGAACCAAAACTGGGTTCAAATACATGTGTATTTGATTATTTATTATTTATATACTTATTTTCTGTGTATTTGAGTATTTTCAAATAATGTGTCCCGAATCAAAGAGTAATTTCCTATAAATAGCTTACTATTTAAAAACATTCTACAAAATACTTATTTCCAAATACAAATGGATACAAATGCATGCAATATTTATATTTGAAAATACACTTGTCTGTGTATTTGAGTATTTCCAAATACATTCCAATCTTCAACTACTTGTGTTTTCAAATAAAAAATACTAAAGTACTTACTTCCAAATGTCTTTGAAAGTAATTGAAATACCCTAAATAGTATTTGAACCCAGGTCTAGACAGAACGACAGTCTCACCCATGTAGGCAATGATGAATAACTGCAGATGTTTATGGATGAAATCCTACATTATGCAAATTAGGACATGGAAAGGAGTTTGATGTCCTATTTCCACGTATTTGTCTTTGAATTTATTCAATTTAATTAGAGTTCTACAGTATTTCTAGCGTGAAATGTAAAGAAACAAGAGAGGAAAGGACTTTTTGTATAACAGGAAAACACGGGAGGATGTCATGCCCCTGGCATGACACACACACACACACACAAACACAAACACACACACACACACACACAGCCCAGGGAACAGCAACTGTCCTTAGTCAACGCACACTGTCTCATGGAGCTAAAATGCCTCCGCTTTCTTTTACTTGACTTCATTTTGCAGTTAGACTGCAGTTCCCTGGGCTGTGTGCGTGCGTGCTTTTCCCTGGGACAGTGTCAGTTGATAGATGCACAGTGACAGGTCTTCTCTCTCAGCTCACTGTGTGTGGGTGTTGCTTGTGCTGTGTGTGTTACGGGTGCTGTGTGTGCAAGGGGAGGTGTCTATCTGTCTGTGACAGCAGCTGCAGAGGACAGACAAGCTTGAGGACAGATAGATTATACACACTCACACTCACACTCACACACCACACACACAGACATACATACACACACAGCATGTGGTTATAAAAGCACCTGGCTCATTAAAATCAGATCTGAAAACGTTAATTTATTTATTTTTTGAAAGAGAGAAGAATCTAACAGAAATTGTATAAAAGAAATCCGTACAGCTTTCATTCTTCTTCCCCAGATCAAAGACTTAATACTGTAACTTCTTCCTGGCGTCTGAGCGTGTGTTCATTCGTGTGTGTGTTGGAGTGAGCTGAGTAGAGGATTGCAGAGGTCTTTGTTTTTATAGTGCTGGTTCATTTCAGTGCTCTTCATAACGAGTCTGTTCTCTCAGGGTGTTACATGGGATTTATTATCCTGTGGTATTCCATTCCCCTGCAGGTACTTCAGTTCCTGATTCAGACGACCTTAAATCATACACACACACTCATGCACACACATGCATGCGCATGCACGCAGGCAATCGCACACACACTGCACATGAACACACCCAAGTGCACATGTACACACAGACACACATGCACAAGCACACACACACGTACCTGTTTCACCCAGCCCTGTAAAGCGTAAATTAAACAGAAGTCCTTCCAGTGACAAGTTTCCTTGTAGTGGGTCAGAGGTGGAGATTGAGAAGAGTTCCCATTAATCTCTAATGCACACACGCACACACTCACACTGATCTAAAATCATATATATATATTTTTTACATCATATTTCCTTGCGTGTCATCCTATTGACTAACTCCCTTTAGTCACGGCTCTGGCTTTGATCTTAGCCCCGTTAGCCATACACACTGTGTGTTTGTGTGCACGTGTGTCTGTGTCTGTGTGTGTGTGTGTGTGTGTGTGTGTGTGTTTCATACGAACAGCTCAGAGCAAACTCATTTCACGTTGGTGTGAGTGTTTAGCTTTCGGTGTATGTGTGTGTGTATGTGTTTGAGAAGTACATAATGTTCAAGTGTTGCATGTCCTCCCTCTCAGTGGATGATATTAAGAATCAGATAACTGTCATGTCCCCACCCCTTTACACTGATCTAGACCATTGATTTACAATACCACTTCAACCAGCCTACTCAATAGTGTGTGTGCGTGTGTGTGTGTGCATGTGTGTGTGTGTGCCACAAAGATGGTTTATTGAGTATAATAGGCTACATGAGTGATAAAGGTGTCCTGCCCCATACCTAGCCACAGGAAAAATCCTAATGAAAAAAAAATATTAATAAATAAGTGTTAAAAAAAGAAATCACTGAATTAGTGCACTGGGTTTTTACTAGTCCTGTATTAGCGGACCGTCTGTAGCGCAGGCAATAATAAAAATAAAAGTGATGTCATACAATGTGTGTCAGAGATGAGGTCAGTGTCATGCCATTGTAGAACGTTCCTTTTCTCCCCCCACTTCGGCCTCAACCCACCAATGTCACACGCAGACACACACACATACACACACACACACAGTGATAGCAATCAGTTAGGTTGCCAAACTGCCCGCTGTCACTGCAACCCCTGACATTTCCAATCATCAGGGAGAGAACATTATGAAAGGACTGAAGAGAGAGAGGGGGGAGGAGAGAGAGCGAGAGCAAACAGCTTGATGCTTTGATATCAGTTATGATGATGGCTATATTGTAGGCCTATATCCTGTATACTTAAATGAATACACACAGTATCAATCAATCACATGTATTTATAAAGCCCTTTTTACATCAGCAGTTGTCACAAAGTGCTTATACAAATACGCAGCCTAAAACCCCAAAGAGCAAGCAATGCCGATGTAGAAGCACGGTGGCTTGGAAACACTCCCTAGAAAGGCAGGAACCTGGGAAGAAACCTAGAGAGGAACTAGGCTCTGAGGGGTGGCCAGTCCTCTTCTGGCTGTACTGGGTGGAGAGGACCTAGGCTCTGAGGGGTGGCCAGTCCTCTTCTGGCTGTTCTGGGTGGAGAGGAACCAGGCTCTGAGGGGTGGCCAGTCCTCTTCTGGCTGTACTGGGTAGAGAGGAACCAGGCTCTGAGGGGTGGCCAGTCCTCTTCTGGCTGTACTGGGTGGAGAGGAACCAGGCTCTGAGGGGTGGCCAGTCCTCTTCTGGCTGTACTGGGTGGAGAGGAACCAGGCTCTGAGGGGTGGCCAGTCCTCTTCTGGCTGCACTGGGTAGAGAGTAAAGAGTACATGGCCATTAATGCCAGATCGTTCGTCAAGATGTTCGAACATTTATAGATGACCAGAATGGTCAAATAATAATCACAGTGGTTATAGAGGGTGTAACAGGTCAGCACCTCATGAGTATATGTCAAAACCAGGGTAGCACCAGTTCTGTCTGCTCAATAGTCGTTTAGACCCCTGTTTCTCAATCCTGGTCCTGGGACCCAAAGGTGTGCACATGTTTTGTTTTTGCCCTACCACTCACACACTTCATTCAACTAATCAACTCCTCTTCAAGCCTTTGATTTGAATTAGGTGTGTAGTGGTAGGGCCAGGATTGAGAAACATTGATAATAATAATAATAATATGCCATTTAGCAGACGCTTTTATCCAAAGCGACTTACAGTCATGTGTTAATACATTTTTACGTATGGGTGGTCCCGGGGATCGAACCCACTACCCTGGCGTTACAAGCGCCATGCTCTACCAATTGAGCTACAGAGGACCACATTGATCTAAAGCAGTGGTTCCCAAACTGCGAGGGGTCAGCAGGGGGGTGTGTGAACAATTTGTGAGATGAAAAGTGCTTGTGCCCATAAAAATAGACGTGGTGCGCGCGTAGGGGGCACTAAAGGACACACTGCTGTATTCTACTTGACAGTGTTCTAATCTAGCCGATGATAATGATGTGTGCCTCTGTTCCTTGTTTAGTGAAAACATCCAGAGGCATGTTCAGTTCCTTGTAGCAGGGTACCCTACTGCTCAGTAGTATTGAACCTAGAGTACACATCACTCCAGAGGCGACAGTTGACCTTTCTAAAATTGAGTGTGTGGTGTCTTCTGATGTGTGTTTGTCCTCGGATTTGTGCATGTTAGGTTGTAAGCGTTTGTTAAGTTATAAGTGTGTGTCCTGTCTCTGTCTGTCAGGTCAGTCAGCAGGATGTACCGGCACAGTGGAGGCCATGGAGGAGGAGGTCCTCAGGAGGTGGAGCTAACAGACGAAGAGAAGGAGATCATCAACAGTGTTCTGGCTCGGGCTGAGACCATGGAGGCCATGGAGCAGGAGAGGATCGGGTGAGACAGAGAGCGAGAGAGGGAGCGAGGGGGTGGAGAGCGAGAGAGAGAGGGGGGAGTGAGGGGAGAGAGAGAGAAAAAATGAGAAACAGACAAAACTGTGTGCGTGCGTGCGAGTGTGTCTGTTTGATCTCACCTCTCTATGCGGTTGGCGACCTGTCTGGACAGAAGACAGCATGGACAGATGGTCAGTCTGGCAGTCTGATGTGTGTGGTGTGTATTTACTGTATGTGTGAGTGTGTGTGTGTGTGTGTGTGTGTGTGTGTGTGTGTGTGTGTGTGTGTCCGTTACAGGAGGGGGTCGCAGTTCCGGAGCGACCCACTAGGTGTCATCCTCCGACAACCTTAGGCACCCCCTCACTCACAGTCGGGACTAATCATCATCCTATTGGTGTCACCTGTGTCCATCTGTTAACCTGTGTATTTATGCCCTCACTTCCCTGTGTTCCCTTCAAATCAAATCAAATCAAATGTTATTTGTCACATACACGTGTTTAGCAGATGTTATAGCGGGTGTAGCGAAATGCTTGTGCTTCTAGCTCCGACAGTATAGGAATTTCTAACAAGTAGTATCTAACAATTTCACAACATATACCTAATGCACACAAAACTAGTAAGGAATGGGATTTAAGAATATATACATATATGGACAAGCAATGACAGAGCGGCATGGACTAAGATACAGTAGAATATTATAGAATAGAATGCAGTATATACATATGAGATGAGTAGTGCAAGATATGTAAACATTATTAAAGTGACTAGTGTTCCATTTCTTAAAGTGGCCAGTGATTTCAATAGGCAGCAGCAGCCTCTAATGTGCTAGTGATGGCTATTTAACAGTCTGATGGCCTTGAGATAGAAGCTGTTTTTCATTCTCTCGGTCCCAGCTTTGATGCACCTGTACTGACCCTTCCTCAGTTTTCTCTGCTAGTTTCTCTATGTCCAGCAGTACTACTCAGTGTTTGATCAGAGACCTATGTACAGGTACTTGAGAAGTGTTCTCCCTGTTTCGTTATTTGTTTCAGTCCTAGGTAATATTTCGTATTTTGCCTGTCAGCCGGTTTTTGGAGACTTATTTGCTCCACCTTTCTTTTATCGTGATAAGTCCGTTATTTTGTATTTTGGCTTCTGGACCACCAGTAAAGATCCTTGTTTCACCATCTCTGCCTACTGCCTACTGTATATCCTGCATCGCACCTGGGTCACACCTCACCCCAACCCTTACACGTGTCTATGTCTGTGTCTGTCTGTCTGTCTGTCTGTGTCTGTCTGTGTCTGTGTGTTCTGCAGGCGTTTTGCCACTAGGTTGGACAGTATGAAGAAGACAGCATGTGGAGATGGTCAGTCTCGCTGTCTGTTGTGTGGAGAGATGTTTGGCCAGCAGGGAGTCACCTCTGTACTCTGTTCCCACTGCAAGAAGGTAATTAGCACACATAATAGAGCTATGTACAGTCGTGGTCAAAAGTTTTGAGAATGACACAAGTATTGGTCTTCACATAGTTTGCTGCTTCAGTGTTTTTAGATATTTTTGTCAGATGTTACTATGGTATCCTGAAGTAGAATTACAAGCATTCCATACGTGTCAAAGGCTTTTTTATTGACAATTACATTAAGTTTATGCAAAGAGTCAATATTTGCAGTGTTGACCCTTCTTTTTCAAGACCTCTGCAATCCGCCCTGGCATGCTGTCAATTAACTTCTGGGCCACATCCTGACTGATGGCAGCCCATTCTTGCATAATCAATGCTTGGAGTTTGTCAGAATCTGTGGGGTTTTGTTTGTCCACCCGCCTCTTGAGGATCGACCACAAGTTCTCAATGGGATTAAGGTCTGGGGAGTTTGCTGGCCATGGACCCAACATTTTGATGTTTTGTTCCCCGAGCCACTTAGTTATCACTTTTGCCTTATGGCAAGGTGCTCCATCATGCTGGAAAAGGCATTTTTTGTCACCAAACTGTTCTTGGATGGTTGGGAGAAGTTGCTCTCGGAGGATGTGTTGGTACCATTCTTTATTCATGGCTGTGTTCTTAGGCAGAATTGTGAGTGAGCCCACTCCCTTGGCTGAGAAGTAACCCCACACATGAATGGTCTCAGGATGCTTTACTGTTGGCATGACACAGGACTGATGGTAGCGCTCACCTTGTCTTCTCCGGACAAGTTTTTTTCCGAATGCCCCAAACAATTGGAAAGGGGATTCATCAGAGAAAATGACTTTACCCCAGTCCTCAGCAGTCCAAAACCTGTACCTTTTGCAGAATATCAGTCTGTCCCTGATGTTCTTCCTGGAGAGAAGTGGCTTCCTCACTGCCCTTCTTGACACCAGGCCATCCTCCAAAAGTATTTGCCTCACTGTGCCTGCAGATGCACTCACACCTGCCTACTGCCATTCCTGAGCAAGCTCTGCACTGGTGGTGCCCCGATCCCACAGCTGAATCAACTTTAGGAGATGGTCCTGGCGCTTGCTGGACTTTCTTGGGCGCCCTGAAGCCTTCTTCACAACAATTGAACCTCTCTCCTTGAAGTTCTTGATGATCTGATAAATGGTTGATTGAGGTGCAATCTTACTAGCAGCAATATCCTTGCCTGTGAAGCCCTTTTTGTGCAAAGCAATGATGATGGCACGTGTTTCCTTGCAGGTAACCATGGTTAACAGAGGAAGAACAATGATTTCAAGCACCACCCTCCTTTTAAAGCTTCCAGTCTGTTATTCTAACTCAATCAGCATGACAGAGTGATCTCCAGCCTTGTCCTCGTCAACACCAATCACTGACATGATGTCAGCTGGTCCTTTTGTGGCAGGGCTGAAATGCAATGGAAATGTTTTTGGGGGATTAAGTTCATTTTCATGGCAAAGAGGGACTTTGCAATTAATTGCAATTCATCTGATCACTCTTCATAACATTCTGGAGTATATGCAAATTGCCATCCTAAAAACTGAGGCAGCAGACTTTGTGAAAATTAATATTTGTGTCATTCTCAAAACTTTTGACCACGACTTTAGAGTTTGGACAGTTATCAGAGGTCCAAGCCCTGTAGATCTCTGTGGTTTCTCATCTTATTTTGTTCAACTTACTATTTCTTGTTGCTTTGAGCAGAGATGATTCTGTCAGTAGTCTGGTATGTGCTCTTAAATCCTTTCTGTTCCTCACTTTGTCTAGCTCCCAAACTGTGCCTTCATCTGTCCTACACTCTTAGAAAAAAAGGGTTCCAAAAGGGTTCTTTGGTTGTCCCCATAGGATAACCCTTTTTGATTCCAGGTAGAACCCTTTTTGGTTCCAGGTAGAACTCTTTTGGGTTCCATGTAGAACCCTCTGGGGAAAGGAACCAAAAAAGGGTTCTTCAAAGGGTTCTCCTATGGGGACAGCCGAAGAACCCTTTCAGGTTCTACATATAGTGGGGAGAACAAGGATTTGATACACTGCCAATTTTGGAGGTTTTCCTACTTACAAAGCATGTAGAGGTCTGTAATTTTTATCATAGGTACACTTCAACTGTGAGAGACGGAATCTAAAACAAAAATCCAGAAAATCACATTGTATGATTTTTAAGTAATTAATTTGCATTTTATTGAATGACATAAGTATTTGATACATCAGAAAAGCAGAACTTAATATTTGGTACAGAAACCTTTGTTTGCAATTACAGAGATCATACGTTTCCTGTAGGTCTTGACCAGGTTTGCACACACTGCAGCAGGATTTTGGCCTACTCCTCCATACAGACCTTCTCCAGATCCTTCAGGTTTCGGGGCTGTCGCTGGGCAATACGGACTTTCAGCTCCCTCCAAAGATTTTCTATTGGGTTCAGGTCTGGAGACTGGCTAGGCCACTCCAGGACCTCGAGATGCTTCTTACGGAGCCACTCCTTAGTTGCCCTGGCTGTGTGTTTCGGGTCGTTGACACGCTGTAAGACCCAGCCACGACCCATCTTCCATGCTCTTACTGAGGGAAGGAGGTTGTTGGCCAAGATCTCGCGATACATGGCCCCATCCATCCTCCCCTCAATACGGTGCAGTCGTCCTGTCCCCTTTGCAGAAAAGCATCCCCAAAGAATGATGTTTCCACCTCCATGCTTCACGGTTGGGATGGTGTTCTTGGGGTTGTACTCATCCTTCTTCTTCCTCCAAACACGGCGAGTGGAGTTTAGACCAAAAAGCTATATTTTTGTCTCATCAGACCACATGACCTTCTCCCATTCCTCCTCTGGATCATCCAGATGGTCATTGGCAAACTTCAGACGGGCCTGGACATGCGCTGGCTTGAGCAGGGGGACCTTGCGTGCGCTGCAGGATTTTAATCCATGACGGCGTAGTGTGTTACTAATGGTTTTCTTTGAGAATGTAGTCCCAGCTCTCTTCAGGTCATTGACCAGGTCCTGTCGTGTAGTTCTGGGCTGATCCCTCACCTTCCTCATGCTCATTGATGCCCCACGAGGTGAGATCTTGCATGGAGCCCCAGACCAAGGGTGATTGACCGTCATCTTGAACTTCTTCCATTTTCTAATAATTGCACCAACAGTTGTTGCCTTCTCACCAAGCTGCTTGCCTATTGTCCTGTAGCCCATCCCAGCCTTGTGCAGGTCTACAATTTTATCCCTGATGTCCTTACACAGCTCTCTGGTCTTGGCCATTGTGGAGAGGTTGGAGTCTGTTTGATTGAGTGTGTGGACAGGTGTCTTTTATACAGGTAACGAGTTCAAACAGGTGCAGTTAATACAGGTAATGAGTGGAGAACAGGAGGGCTTCTTAAAGAAAAACTAACAGGTCTGTGAGAGCCGGAATTCTTACTGGTTGGTAGGTGATCAAATACTTATGTCATGCAATAAAATGCAAATTAATTACTTAAAAATCATACAATGTGATTTTATGGATTTTTTTTTTGACAGACCTCTACATGTTTTGTAAGTAGGAAAACCTGCAAAATCGGCAGTGTATCAAATACTTGTTCTCCCCACTGTAGCACCTTTTTTTCTAAGAGTGTATCATAAAAATAATTGTACAATTATGTGTATGTGTGTGTTTTTGCTTGCAGCATATGTGCAGTAAGTGTGGGATTCAGAACAACAGCCGGTCGTCATGTCCTGTTTGGGTCTGTAGGATCTGCAGCGAACACCAAGAGGTGAGAGAGGAGGGGGATAGAGAGAGATGGAGAAAGGAAAGGAGGGGTGGAAAGATAGAGAAATTATAGGTTGAGGACCAAATAATAGTAGTTTTAATATATACTCAACAAATACTCCTTCATAATAAATAATGAGAAAATTGTGTTTGCTTGTTTCCATTCACAATGAAAATGTAGGGTGGAGAGAGAAGGGGGGAGATAGAGAAAGGAGGAAAGGGAAGGGGGAGAGAAGGGTTCAGCTGGTTCAGACTTAATCACACTCACACTTTATTTTTGGGGTTTGCTTAGTCACCCCGTTACACAGTATTGTTTAGTGCTGACCCTGTGTTCGGTGAAACCTCTCCCCCAGGGAACCTTTAATTAAATGGCCCTACCTGTCAGTCCCCCCCCCTGTCGATCTCAATCTCGCTCTCTCCATCTAATTTTCTCTTTCTCTGTCTCTCTCTCCCTCTCTCTCTTTCTACATCTCTCTCTCCCCCTCCCCTCTCTCTCTCTCTGTCTCTCCATATCTAGATGTTGAAGCGTTCTGGAGCGTGGTTCTTTAAGGGCCAACCCCAGCATGTCCTCCCTGCTCCCCTGCCCATCTCCAGGCCCAGAGGGACGGGTAGAGAGAGCCCCCGTACCCAGACCCCTACCCATCACCAGCCCAGTACCCAGCCCTTTGCCCGTACCCAGACCCAGCCCAGCTACCAGCCAGACCCTGGTGCCCAGGACTGCACAGAGAAACAGGAGCAGCAGGATAACTGCTACTCCAACACAAAGAACCAAGGTGAGCAGTGGAAACAAGCATTAAGATTTCACGACTAGTTGGACATGTATGAGAGGTACAAGCAAAAGCTTTTAGTATATACACTACCAGTCAAAAGTTTGGACACACCTACTAATTCAAGGGTTTTTCTTTATTTTTACTATTTTCTACATTGTAGAATAATAGTGAAGACATCAAAACTATGAAATAACACATATGGAATCATGTAGTAACCAAAAAAGTGTTAAACATATATTTGAGATTCTTCAAATAGCCACCCTTTGCCTTGATGACAGCTTTGCACACTCTTGGCATTCTCTCAACCAGCTTCATGAGGTAGTCACCTGGAATGCATCTCAATTAACAGCTGTGCCTTCTTAAAAGTTAATTTGTGGAATTTATTTCCTTCTTAATGTGTTTGAGCCAATTAGTTGTGTTGTGACAAGGTAGAGGGGGTATACAGAAGATAGCCCTATTTGGTAAAAGACCAAGTCCATATTATGGCAAGAACAGCTCAAATAAGAAATGAGAAATGACAGTCCATCATTACTTTAAGACATGAAGGTCAGTCAATACGGAACATTTCAAGAACTTTGAACGTTTCTTCAAGTGCAGTCGCAAAAACCATTAAGCGCTATGATGAAACTGGCTCTCATGAAGACCGCCACAGGAATGGAAGACCCAGAGTTACCTCTGCTGCAGAAGATAAGTTAATTAGAGTTACCAGCCTCAGAAATTGCAGCCCAAATAAATGCTTCACAGTGTTCAAGTCACAGACACATCTCAACATCAACTGTTCAGAGGGGACTGTGTGAATCAGGCCTTCATGGTCGAATTGATGCAAAGAAACCACTACTAAAGGACACCAATAAGAAGAAAAGACCTGGTTGGTGACACTGTCTGTGATTTATTTAGAATTCAAGGCACACTTAACCAGCATGGCTACCACAGCATTCTGCAGCAATACACCATCCCATCTGGTTTGGGCTTAGTGGGACTATCATTTGTTTTTCAACAGGACAATGACCCAACACACCTCCAGGCTGTGTAAGGGCTATTTTACCAAGAAGGAGAGTGATGGAGGGCTGCATCAGATGACCTGGCCTCCACAATCCACCGACCTCAACCCAATTGAGATGGTTTGGGATGAGTCGGACGGCGGAGTGAAGGGAAAACAGCCAATAACTGCTCAGCATATGTGGGAACTCCTTCAAGATGGTTATGAAAGCATTCCAGGTGAAGCTGGTTGAGAGAATGCCAAGAGTGTGCAAAGCTGTCATCAAGGCAAAGGGCGGCTATTTGAAGAATCTCAAATATAAAATATATTTTGATTTGTTTAACACTTGTTTGGTTACTACTAAATGATTCCATATGTGTTATTTCATAGTTTTGATGTCTTCACTATTATTCTACAATGTAAAATTTTTTACAAATAAAGAAAAACCCTTGAATGAGTAGGTGTGTCCAAACTTTTGACTGGTACTGTATGTTAGATGTTGGGTATCGAAGACATGAACATTTCAAAATGTCATCTTCCTCTCTCTGTCTCATCTCAGAGCCCACTGATGAACCCCCGTACTCCAGCTCAGAGCAACAGGACCCAGAGGGCTATAGCTCTGCTCAGACACTAGGGGGTGTTGCTGTGGAGGAAGAGGTGGTGAAGATGGAGAGACAGTCGAAGTTAGGCTCCAGACCTCCCACAGCCAGGGGAAGAGAGAACACACCAGCTCCAGTTGACACGGTCACACCACAGGGTACCATTGAAGGGACAGCTCACCCAAATTACAAAATTACATGTTTTTCCTTACCCACCCTGAAAGCAGTTAATGGATAAGAAATAACTGCTTTGATGTTGTTTACCTACCCATTGCCACCAACCGCTCAATTGCATAATCCCTTCTACTTTGAGACTGAGACTGTCTAAATACCTGTATTTCCCTACCTCAGCCCCTGCACCAGAGGAGAGCAGACACCCTCACCAGAGGGAGGATAGAGCGCCAACTCCAGTCAGGGAGGAGAAACCCACTCCTGCCCCCAAACCCACCCCGGCACCACGCCCAGCCCCCGCTCCTGTCGAGGACGACGACGACAACGAATATGACTCTGATGAATCCAGTAAGTGTGCTTGTGTCCTTATATAACATTTACATTTTACATTTTAGTCATTTAGCAGACGCTCTTATCCAGAGCGACTTACAGTTAGTGCATACATTTTTTTTTTTCATACTGGCCCCCCGTGGGAATCGAAACCACAACCCTGGCGTTGCAAGCGCCATGCTCTACCAACTGAGCTACACGGGACAAATATTCATTTTTATTGATTTCAAACACTTGATTACTTCCTCTACCTTGTTACTAAACACGACCCTCTACATACTGTGTGCATACAGTAACCATCAATCTTTATTAGCCCGCTGGGAAATATGGTCCCCAAGAAGGGACATTGTAGACCAACCGTATGATACACATATTCTAATGCACACACACACTTCCTCTCTGTTGTTCTGTTATTATCTCTCTCTCTCTATCTGTCTCTCTCTCTGTCTCTCTCTCTCTGTCTCTCTCTCTCTGTCTCTCTCTCTGTCTCTCTCTCTCTGTCTGTCTCTCTCACTCTGTGTTGGTTGTAGTAACCAATCTGAGTATGACGTTATTTTGTTCTGTCCGCATCAGCCACCCTGGGGTTACTGGAGTTCACTCTGCATTATGAACAGGAGAACAATGCTCTGCACTGCAACATAGTCAAAGCCAAGGTATACACACATACTGTACACTGCTAGCTTCAGTGACATGCTTGAATGGTTCATCTTTAGGTTGATATTCTCTCTCATCTCCTGCCCTCTCTCTCTCTCTCTCTCTCTCTCTCTCTCTCAGGGCCTAAAGCCGATGGACTCTAATGGATTAGCAGACCCCTACGTCAAACTGCACCTCTTACCTGGAGCCAGTAAGGTAACTTCAATACTTCTGCTTGTAGTAGGCCTGTTTCTGTTGCCTGTTGACACAGACTTGTATATCTATAATCATGTATATCTATTCATCTTCTCTCCCCAGTCTAACTGTTAGCCAGTCTAATAAGTGTTGCACTATGTGAAAGTAACAAAAATCTTTCCCTCTCTCTCTCTCCATCTGTCTCCCTGTCTTCTGCTCTATTTCTTCCCCTCTGTTCCCCCCCCCCCCCCCCATCTCTCCCTGTCCCCCGTTTCCCCCCCCCCCCCCCATCCACACAGTCTAACAAGCTGCGTACTAAGACCCTGAAGGGCACTCTGAACCCAGTGTGGAATGAGACTCTCGTGTACCATGGTATCACTGATGACGACATGCAGCGCAAAACACTACGGTAAATACAGGCAGGCTCGACCACACCACATAACACAACTGTATACAGTATACAGTATACAGGGCATTCAGACCCCTTGACTTTTAAAATGTTTTGTTATGTTACAGCCTTATTCTAAAATTGATTAAATAGTTTTTTTTTCCCTCATCAATTTACACGCAATACCCCATAATGAAAAAGCAAAAACTGGTTTTTATAAATTTTTGCAAATGTATTAAAAATAAAAAACTGAAATATCACATTTACATAAGTATTCAGACCCTTTACTCAGTACTTTGTTGAAGCGAGTACAGCCTCGAGTCTTCTTGGGTATGACTTTACAAGCTTGGCACACCTGTATTTGGGGAGTTTCTCCCATTCTTCTCTGCAGATCCTCTCAAGCTCTGTCAGGTTGGATGGGGAGTGTCACTGCACAGCTATTTTCAGGTCTCTCCAGAGATGTTAGATCGGGTTCAAGTCCGGGCTCTGGCTGGGCCACTCAAGGACATTCAGAGACTAGTCCCGAAGCCACTCCTGCGTTGTCTTGGCTGTGTGCTTAGGTTCGATGTCCTGTTGGAAGGTGAACCTTCGCCCCAGTCTGAGGTTCTGAGCGCTCTGGAGCAGGCTTTCATCAAGGATCTCTCTGTACTTTGCTCCCTTCATCTTTCCCTCGATCCTGACTAGTCTCCCAGTCCCTGCCACTGAAAAACATCCCCACAGCATGATGCTGCCACCACCATGCTTCACCGTAGGGATGGTGCCAGGTTTCCTCCAGATGTGACGCTGGCGTTCAGGCCAAAGAGTTCAATCTTGGTTTCATCAAACCAGAGTATCTTGCTTCTCATGGTCTGAGAGTCCTTTAGGTGCCTTTTGGCAAACTCCAAGCAGGCTGTGTCATGTGCCTTTTACTAAGGAGTTGCTTCCGTCTGACCACTCTACCATAAAGGCCTGATTGGTGGAGTGCTGCGGAGATGGTTGTCCTTCTGGAAGGTTCTCCCATCTCCACAGAGGAACTCTGGAGCTCTGTCAGAGTGACCATCGGGTTCTTGGTCACCTCCCTGACCAAGGCCCTTCTCTCCCGATTGCTCAGTTTGGCCGGGCAGCCAGCTCTAGGAAGAGTCTTGGTGGTTCCAAACTTCTTCCATTTAAGAATGATGGAGGCCACTGGGTTCTTGGGGACCTTCAATACTGCAGAAATGTGTTTGGTACCCTTCCCCAGATCTGTGCCTTGACACAATCCTGTCTCAGAGCTTTACGGACAATTCCTTCGACCTCATGGCTTAGTTTTTGCTCTGACATGCATTGTCAACTGTGGGACCTTATATAGACAGGTGTGTGCCTTTCCAAATCATGTCCAATCAATTGAATTTACCACAGGTGGACTCCAATCAAGTTGTAGAAACATCTCAAGGATGATCAATGGAAACAGGATGCACCTGAGCTCAATTTCGAGTCTCATAGCAAAGGGTCTGAATACTTATGTAAATAAGGTATTTCTGCTTTAATACATTTGCTAAAATTCTAAAACCCTGTTTTCGCTTTGTCATTATGGGGTATTGTGTGTAGATTGATGAGGGGAAAAAACAATGTAATCAATTTTAGAATAAGGCTGTAACGTAACAAAATGTGGAAAAAGTCAAGGGGTCTGAATAATTTCCGAATGCACTGTATGTGTGACCCACTGGGTCATCTGAAATTATTAGGAAATTATTCCATTTGAAATTAAATGAAAACGTTTACGTTGATATTGGCCTAGTTTAGTTCAGTGGCTCTCCATTTACATCAGTTGGATTTCCCCGGGCTAAAGGGAACAAAGAGAATAAAAACTGTTCTGCGATGATAAAAAAACGATGTAAAAAGAGAATAAACTCCTCTTCCTGCTTCCAGGCTGTCAGTGAGTGATATGGACAAGTTTGGACACAATGAGTTCATCGGAGAGACACGTGTTGCTCTGAAGAAACTCAAAGCCAACCAGAAGAAGAACTACAGTGTGTGTCTGGAGAGGGTGGTCCAGGTAAGAACTACAACAGTGTGTGTCTATGAGGGCACGCATGCAGGTCTGGAGACGCTTTTATCCAAAGCGACTTACAGTCATAACCTTTGCATTGTGGATACAACTGTTAATAATCTTGATATAAGTGATCTCACCCCAACTCTCCCTCTTTTCTCCCCCCTCCCCCAGGTGAAGAAGGCAGGAACAGGAGGCTCAGCCCGGGGCATGGCACTTTACGAGGAGGAGGTAAGACTCAACTGAGACAGGATTTACACCTGACACAGCACTCAGGGTTTACGCTTCACGTTCACACCTAAGATTTACACCTGTAACTCCAGAGATGGAACAAAATAGTAGCTGAATGCTGATGTCACATGTATTATTAATTTCCATTGAATTTAGTTGGAACTTTTTCTGCACCCATTAGGCTTCCTTGCCTTGCTATCGATTGTTGTCTACACAAGATAAATACCTTTCAAGGACAGGAGGCTGGTGAGGGGATGACGGCTCATAATAATGACTGGAATGAATTGAATCGAATGGTATCAAACACAAGGAAACTATGTGTTTGATGTGTCAATACCATTCCATTCATTCAATTACTATGAACCTGTCCTCCCCAATTAAGGTGCCACCACCCGCCTCTATAATATTTATCTCTGTTTATACTGTGACCCGTGGCCCTGTTCTATATTCCTGAAGAACATGGTTTCTAGTTTTACTGTCAGAATAACTTGCGCCCATAGTTGGCCAGACATTACGTAACTCAGATGATATAATGTGCAATGCCATTAGAAATTAGTCATACCCCTTGACTTATTCCACATTTTGTTGTGTTACAGCCTGAATTCAAAATGGATTTAAAAAATATATATATCACCCATCTACACACAATACCCCATAATGACAAAGTGAAAACATGTTTTTAGAAATGTTAGTAAATGTATTGAAAATGAAATACATAAATATCTCATAAATACATAAGTATTCACACCCCAGAGTCAATACATGTTAGAATCACCTTTGGAAGTGATTGCAGCTGTGAGTCTTTCTGGGTAAGAGCTTTGCACACCTGGATTGTGCAATATATGCTCATTATTCTTAAAAAAATTATTCAAGCTCTGTCAAATTGGCTGTTAATCATTGCTAGACAGCCATTTTCAAGTCTTGCCATAGATTTTCAAGCCGATTTAAGTCCAAACTTTAACTAGGTCACTCAGGAACATTCAATATCATATTGGTAAGCAACTACAGTATATATTTGGCCTTGTGTTTTAGGTAATTGTCCTGCTGAAAGGTGAATTTGTCTCCCAGTGCCTATTGGAAAGCAGACTGAACCAGGTTTTCCTGTAGGATTTTGCCTTTCCTTAGCTCTATTCCGTTTATTTGTATCCTAAAAAAACTCCCTAGTCCATTGGTCACCAACCTTTTCTGAGTCAAGATCACTTTCTGAGTCCAAAAGAAAGCTGAGATCTACCGCTCAGAAAAAAAAAACGACTTAAAAAACATAAGCCTATGCAACATGAATCTATTCAAAACAGTTCTGTAGCAATGAGGTTTGTGTAGTAGGTTACAAGCCCAATACATTATCACTATGCTTTAATTGCCATGCCAATGATGTTCTTCTCAGACAATTTAGAAATTTCAAAATGTTTGGTATATGGTCACACTGGTAATAGATCATTTGTTGTATTAGTTGTGAGGTACAGCTGAGTGAGCATAATAATGTGTTTATTTTTATTTTACTGGACTGATAGTCTGCATCTGATGGGAGGGAACTCCCCAACTCACCATCCCTCCACTCTCCCATCCTCTGCTGAGAAAAGGGGACAGTCTTCCAACTGATGGCGAAACTCAAGTCGCACGGCATTATTTCTGCCTCATGCACCAATTCATGTTGTTACTCCTATGACCAAAAAGTGAAATATTCCTTGATACAAAAAAAGACATAAACCGCTAATAATAGCAACGCAAGCTTATCGAAACACTTTGCTATACTCATTCATTACAGCTGCAGTGCTGTTTGTAGCGAGTGGAAGCATGGAAAATCCGTATTTTATCGCTAGTAAAAGTGTTGAACAAAGTGTTGACAGTACTGAATAACAACGTTAACATGAACATACTTATAAAAACAGCAGCTCTTTGCTGTATTCATTGAGTCTCTCTCTAGTCATGGTTTTAAAAGTGTTGAAATCTCACAGTATTAACTTTGCTGTGTGCTCGAGTCTTCTTTTTACAGCCTATGACTTGAGGAAACGATAGTTACCGGAGTGTAACTCCAGTTCTATGAGTGGAGCGGAGCCCCATAGGACTTAAGGCCCTGCCGACCCTCTCTAGTCTCGCTGAAGATAAATATATCGGGAGGCTGATTGAGGGGAGGCATCCCCTCTTATAGGGACACCTGTACTCCTATTGGCTGCAGGTGTGTGCATAATTTTGTCTCAGGCTGATGCTAAGGCAGTGGGTAAACCAATAGGAGCAGAGCTCCCCTATGGGGCTCCGCTCCACTCATAGAACTGGAGTTACACTCCGGTAACTATCGTTCTATATCGTAGAGCTCCGCCCCATAGGGGAGCTCTGCTCCTATTGGTTTAAGGCGGAGCGCAACGCTCCAAAATGTACTCCCTGCCGAGCCCAACACTTCCCATCGAAACGAAAAGGTCAGGCCTAGCAATGGCTGCAACCAAGTCCCGCAGTACTGCAACCACTGTATGACAATACAAGTGTCACAATATACTGCGTCATCGGTTAAAAACCCACCCCACCTAGTCCAATGGCAACACCAATGACTAGTGAGCAGATCACCAGAATACGGGCCATACTAATCTGTACTAGCAGATAGATGGTACCTCAATATCCTGTCACAATAATACCGACCACTAATGGAATGACACAAAGGGTCACTCTATATTGTGTACACGGTAGGCCGCCTCACTCAATCAATGGAACCCCGGAGATTAGTGGGCAGATTCCAGAACATGATTCATACTAATCTGAACAAGCAGATAGATGACGTCACATTCCGTCAAAATTGTTATGACCGGTCTAATAGTACCATAACCAAGGTTACTACTATTATCCCTCATCATTCCGCCTCAACCCAGTTATTCACTGGTGGGCAGATCAATACATGCCCTCTACTGTACTGAACATGTCAGTCAGGAGTCATGCCAAAATATGTCCTTCTATCAGTAGCGGACCTGAAAGAGACCTGTCTCCTCAGTCCTGCATTCCTCTCTCCTAGCTCAAGTCCTCCCCTCAGCCACACCAAGTACAGACTGAGCCAAAGAGTTAGAAGACATATCCAAGAGATAGAAACTGATAAATGGAGACTGTGACAACCATGACGCCGCTGCACATATATCCTCTACCCCTGTTCCTCTGAAAAGGGCAGTAGAAGCCGCTACTCCACGAGTGGAGTGAGCTCTTATACCCTGAGGCAATTGTCGCCCCGCTGCCTCATAAGCTGTCTCAATGCCTTTGCAAAGCCAATGAGACAAGCGCTGTTTTGAAAGTGGTCTACCTAGTGCAGCCGCACCGTGACACACAAACAGCTGAGGCGATGACCTAATCGCTGCTGTGCGCTCAACGTAACACGCCAAATCGCGCACTGGGCACAGGCGATGGAGCCTTTCCTCACTCCTCTCCCCATGAGGAGGGGGAGAAAAAGCCCACAGCTCCACGGTCTGTGATCTATATGAGCTCTTAATAACCTTCGGCACAAATGCTGGGTTAGGACGTAACACCGCTCTGCTCAGATCGCCATTAATGGCAAGGCAGTCGGGTCTCGTCGAAAGAGCACACAAATCACTAACACACTTAGCCATGGTCAAAGCGAGCAACAGTGCCGTCTTCATAGACAGCATATTGAGGGGTATTTGATTCAATGGCTCGAACGGCGACTTACATAGCGCTTCGAGTACCAAAGCCAAATCCCACTGAGGAAGCGTGGCTCTAGGCATTGGCCTAAGCCGCCGCGTTCCCAATAAGAAACGTTTCACTAGAGGGTGGCTGAAGACATTGTCTCTGCCAAACCCCTTGTGACAAGCTGAAATCGCCGCTGCAAACACCTTGATGGTGGCGGGCGATCGCTGCTTATCAAACATAAACTGCAGGAAAGAGAGAACACTCTCAACCTGACAGCTCATGGGGTCTACATTCTCTGTGACACACCACTGTGAAAAAACGTTCCATTTACTGGCATACACCCTGGAAGTGGAACTGGCACGTGAACCCTGTATGGTCCTGATTACTGAATCAGATAACCCACGGCGCTCTAGCCTGTCCCTCTCAGGAGCCAAGCCTTCAGTGGTTGGCCGATTATGGGCAATTGCCCTATCGAGCCCCCCGCCTGAGACAACACGTCCCGTCGATGTGGAATTGGCCAAGGTGGCGCAATCAACATCTGACTCATCTCCGCAAACCATGGAGCCCCTGGGCGATCGGGGGCTATCAATATTATTGACAGCCCTCCTGATCTCACCCTGGCTAACAGTGGGAGAATGCAGGACAGCAGAGGGAATGCATACAGAAGAACTCTCGGCCACGGGTGGTGCGCAAATGCGTCTCTTCCCAGTGGCGGTTTGTCCTGTTCCCTCAGAGAGAACCATAGGGGACATTGCGCGTTCACGCGTGATGCGAATAAATCCACCTCAGCTCTCCCGAACTGTTCCCAAATTTGGAGAACAATGTCAGGATGCAGACGCCACTCGTTGTCACGAGGACCCCCTTGCGACATGAGGTCTGCTCCTACGTTCAAGTAGCCCGGAATGTGTGCTGCTCTCAATGAGCGAAGGTGCTCGTGAGCACACAGCCACAATTCCTCTGCCGCCCGGTGGAGAGCAGGAGACCTGACTCCTCCCTGGCGATTTATGTGAGCTACTGTGGTCCGGTTGTCTGACCAGACCAACACATCGCGACCCCGAAGGGTAGACGCGAAGTGGGTCAGAACCAGTCGAACCGTTTCCCCAACTCCAAGAGGTTGATGTGGCGACTCCAAAGAGGCCACACAACTCCTATCGCTTGGGTCTGACATGTTCCTCCCCATCCAGTCAGAGAGGCATCTGTAAACACTGGAATGTAGGAGGACACTTTGCCTATCGGGACTCCATGCGTGAGAACGCGCGGGTCTCTCCAATAGTTCAGATCTGCACTGAGCGAGAGGGGAACCACCACCAACCGATGATGTTGACGCACTGGGTCTAGTCTTAGTTGGGCGAACCATCGCTGCATCCTGCGCATGC